TTTCTTATAGCCATTTTATAATAATTAGAAGAATGAACAAGCTTAGGAACCCACAAGCCTATGAACCCCTAAGTGAGTTTGGACACTCACTTAGACCATTTAATTGCCATTTTTCTAGTCTCATCAACAGTTTTTTGAGGGGAGTATAAGAAGTTAGTCCCTCTGAAGAAAAGCAACTCCTGAACTTTTTTGTATGCATCAAAATCTCTGAAGGAACTTACAGGATTTGTAGGCCTTTCTACTTAGCAACATCTGTGGCCTGATCCTAAGCTTCCTGGCCTAATCTCACTTTGAGGCAGATCCACATAGGATCAATTCAGCACCAGCATAATACAGATATGGTTTGTCCCTCCCCCCCCCCCCAGAACAGTTGTGTGGTTTCTTAGATAAAAACTATAGAATAATGCATTAGCTTCAGGATATCTCTTTCCTCACTTTGTCCAGTGTAGGCATCTTGGCACCAAGCACCATCATGTTTACCATTGGATCAACAAGAACAGCTGTCATTTACTTGTCACTTAGCAACAACACATATCTGCAGGTGTAGATTGCTTACACAGACTTAGTCCCACTTTAGCATAAACTACATTAAAGCTTGCTAACCCACCAACAGTGCAGAATATTACAAAGTTATACTCATAATAATTTGAAAGATTGAACTGGGTTTCTCAAAACTGAACCATACATATCAGAGAGTTATTAAATACATTCCTAAATCAAGACAAAAAATGATATAGCAATGGATTTCATATTGCACAACTAAACAGGACAGCTCGGGTTTATAGATGTCCACTCAAGAGTAAACCCTATATAGTTTCATACAGTTTTTCAGAATAAGTGCTCACAAAATTGCATCTTTAAATGGATCAGGATAAACCTCTACACTGTATTCTGTTTCGCTTTGTATAGTATTGTTTAATAACTGATCAACTGAGAACATGTAACAATTTCACATTCTGTAAAATGGAAAGAAATGTACTTGTTTATTCATTAATTTTCTTATTTACTTACTGGAGCTTATAAGTCACCCAATCCAATAAGACTCTGAGCATGAACAGTATAAGTAATTCAGTATTACTAAACTCTTTGTCTTAAATAAACTGGGTTTTCCAAAGTAACATGTCTAAGATCTGGATGTTCGGTTCAGTGCTCGCTCTTTCTTTCTCTCCCTCTCTCCCTCCTACCTGCAGAAAAAGATACAACTTATTTTCTATATTTTTCAGTATTAGTATTCCACCCTGAATTCCACATTGAGTGCAAGGCACTTTCACCTATCAAGTGAGGATCCTGAATGAATTATTTTTTTAGCTTAGTCCTCAGTACTTTTGAAATGGCTGCTGTGCATTCTGGCTGACAATGATAAAGAGTTGAAATTTGACAATTTGCAAAGACATTAGGTTGGGGAAGATTATTTAGATCTTATTCCCTGAAATGGTATGGGGTCTCCTTTATATTATTCCATCTGGATCCCCTTCAGGCTCTCAAGTATATAGTCAGCAGAACTTTTTCTGAGGGTACCACAGTTGAACCAAAGAGAAACCGGTCTAGAAAGCCTGCCAGAAGTTTCCAGAATAGTTTGGGTTTAGTGCTAACTGCCATGACTGTTCCAACCTGTCTTTAGCTCCTATTTTAAACATTTTATGTTCATGCTACCTTGGACTCCTGGGAGCTATACCCATCTGGGAGATATCAGGTCAAGGTGATCTGCCTTCCTACAGAATGCTCTTTTCCAATGAAATAATTTCCACAGCAGCAAATAGAGGAACTTCATGGTTCTTCAGAGGTCTTTCATCTGGTGCAAAAGACCATTGCCCGGGAAATATATGCTATTTTCTCTCTGTGTTCAGCCTTGGAAGGCTGTGTACATTAAGAAAAGAACGGCACCATAGAAATGTTGCAGAAGAAAATGGATGGATTGGACACTAGATGGGTAACCTTTGAAACTATGAAAAAGCAGATCTGAGGAAAGGCATTTTCTGCGGGGGGGGGGATATATATGTTTCTCGATATGAAAACGAACACTGTATTTATTGCTCACAGATGGAACCATGTACTTAGATATATAAAGCAATATATTGCTACTTAGTTACAATTATACATTCACTTGAAAACCATAAAATATACTTATATCTAGTTGCATCAACCATAATCATAATTTCCTGTTGTATTTTAACTACAGTACTAACAAATAAGTTGCCAATTTAATGGGGTGAAAAAGTTGATAACAGCAACTTTTTGAAAACAGTAATGGAATGCAGAAGGAATTATCTGACACTCTCTAGTTATATTTTATTATTGCATAACTACTTATTATTCATTTAGACTGAATGTGCCAAAGGTTCTCAAAAGTCAATAATTTAAGAAAACAAATTGAAAAGGACCAGTGGGATGCGAACATGCAGATACAAACTTGCATACCTATTGAAGTGAAATCCAAATAGTACCACCTTATATTAGCACACCTTATTTAGATTGCAGGCCTGAACAGTTATAACTGGGTCTCTCAAAGCCGTAACATTTTTGACCAACTATTTCGTTAACTGCAGAAATTGGAATAACTGTAAGCTACTGTATAACAGACATTACAAGACGGCAAGTGCTATCTTGGAGTTGTATATCTCTAAATATTGAGTTAGGATATGGGTACTAGCTTTCTCTTGTTAAAAATGTTCTTCTTGAACAAGTGTGCCCTATGAATAGGAGCCAAAAGAGAGGCAGTAGAACATCACAAGTTTAACATGATCATCCAGGAAAAAAAAACCCATTACTGCAATCAAGACATAAATCAGAGAAAGTTTATTTAGGAGTTTAATTTAGGGTACATTTATTTGGGCAATTAAATGGTACAAGACTTACTACCAATAAAACATACAAAGGATCCCTCTATGTGTTTATTCTTAAAATTAACGTATCAGATTTCAAAAAGAGTTTAAAATAATTTTCATATAACTCAGTTTTAACTAGTTTACCTGACACTTATTTATAACACAACTCTCATTCATAACATTCATAAAAGATTATGCAGCACATATTTAGTTGGCAGTTCCCTTCTCATCACTTCAAATAAACAAGTTCAATGAGTCCTTCTTCCATGCTTTCCAAAATCAGAGGATCAGCCTGAATTGGTTTATCAAATGGGTATACAACATAGGCATGCTGGCTCACACTCATAAAGTTGCACACTCATAAAATCATTCCACAGGGTTAATCTAAAAGTTTACTTTATCTTTCCCAGCGACTTTTTTTTTTACAATTGGCCCTCGTGCATGTACACACGCACAAGCACACGCACCCACACAAACACTCCACCGCCTTAAGAAAGGAATTGATAAAAAGAGAAAAAGAACCTTTTTGAGATAAGATACAAATTCCAATTTGGGAGCAAAACTGTATTTGCATGTGGCAAACTTTCTACCAATCCACTTGTTGCGATACACGCTGGGTCAGCTAAACTATATGCACCACCATGTGTGCTTGTGTTTGTGTGTGTGTCTGTCTGTGTGCCTGCGTGCGCGCGCATTTCAAACTTTGAACAGCCCGATCTGCTAGTAGGTAAAACACCTCCTGAATTCTGATTCCAATGAGAATCTCTGGCCTTTGTGGCATCTGACCTCCAAAAAGTTATTGTAGCAATTGATGCCGTTATTGATGCCGCTGTTGTAGCAATTGATGGCTGTTACCGCTTACTTCAGTTGGTTCTGTTGTTGTTGTTGTTGTTGTCGTCGTCGTCGTCGTCGCGGCTTCTGCTTGGGTAGAGTTTTAATGGTGGCTCTGACCCCTTCCGTGGCCCCTCCCAGAGATTCACACCCTCTCCGCCCCCGCCCTTCCCCGCCAGCTCCAGAAGAGTTTGTACTTCTCACCTCCGGACGTCACTCCTCAATTGCGCCATGCAAATCATCCCCCGCCGGCGCCCTCCCATTGGCCAAGGCAAACTCATTTAATCCCAGTTCGGGGCGCCTTGTATGGCTCCCGGGCTCTTCTCTCGCCGAATCTCTCGGCTGCTCCTCCTTTCCTGGTTCCTCCGGCCGCGAGGAGGGAAACCACCGAGAACAAATTATTGTGCAAGTTCTGCTCCCTGGCTGGAGGCTTTCTTTTCTCCTCCCCTTCTTCCTATATTTCTCTTTCTTTCTTTCTTTCTTTCTTTCTTTCTTTCTTTCTTTCTTTCTTTCTTTCTTTCTTTCTTTCTTTCTTTCTTTCTTTCTCTCTCTTTCTTTTCCCCCCTTCCTCCTTTCCTTTGGTGCTTATCATTTAACTACGTCCCTTCTCTCCCCTTTTTGATTTTGCGGGGAGCTGAGGTGAGAGAGGGGGAGGGGGGGTTTCCTGTCTCTTTCCCTCCGTTCACTTGGGACCGGCGGATGCGAGTCACACACGCTCCCTCCCTCCCTCCGCGCTCTCCCTCCCTCCCTCCCTCCTCCTCCTCTCTGTCTCTCCGCCGGTGGAAGTTAGCCGAGAAGGGGGGGGCCTTAGATCACTTCGGCAGCGGCGAGAAAGAGGGGAGTCCTGCCTGCGAAGCGCGCGTGCACCAGGCGAGAGGACGAAAAGAAGCCTTGAGAGCCGGGCTGACATTTTCTCCCGTCTCCCCGGCGCGGTGGAGCTGCGGGACTTTCGCCCTTCTTTACCCGGCTCTCCGCCTTGCACCTGTTCGAGTCGCCGCCGCCGCCGCCGCCGTTTGCCTCGGGCCGAGGCGGTCCCCGGAGGAAGAAAGTTTTGCTGCCGCCTGAGGAGATTCCCGCGCGCGCGCTCCCGCCCTTTCTTCAAGCTCACAGGGACCGACCGGAGTGCCCCCCCACAGGCAGACTCTTGGGGGCTCCCTCCTCCTCCTCCTTACCTTTGATCGTCGTAGTGCACCCTTATATCCTTTCTTGCGCCTCGGCACCTCCTCGTCTCTCCCGGGCTCCTGCGTCTGCGTTTCGCTTCGCCCCTCCGCTCGGCAGACGCGCGGCTCCTTTGCTCTATGTTTTGACATTGTGGAGCCTGGTGGCCCCTAGCAAACTGCGTGAATGTATAGCATGATGATGGAGGCGGACATGCACTCCCCCGGTGGAGCCCAGGTCACCACCAACCTGACGGGCCAAACCGGTGCGGGAGGAGGCGGCGGCGGCGGAGGTGGCGGCGGCGGGGGTCCCAAGGCCAACCAAGACCGAGTGAAGAGGCCCATGAACGCCTTCATGGTTTGGTCGCGGGGCCAGCGGCGGAAGATGGCCCAAGAGAACCCCAAGATGCACAACTCCGAGATCTCCAAGCGCCTGGGCGCTGAATGGAAAGTCATGTCCGAAGCGGAGAAGAGACCCTTCATCGACGAGGCCAAGCGCCTGCGGGCGCTGCACATGAAGGAGCACCCGGATTATAAATATCGGCCGAGGAGAAAGACCAAGACTTTGCTAAAGAAAGACAAATATTCCCTGGCCGGCGGGCTGCTCGGCGCCGGCGGTCCCGGGGGCGGCCCTCCGGGGGCGATGGGCGTAGGAGTGAGCCCCGTCGGGGTCGGCCAGCGCTTGGAGAGTCCCGGGGGAGGCGGCCCCGGGGGTGGCGGGAGCGCCGGCGGAGGCAGCGGAGGCTCCGGCGGCGGCTATCCGCACATGAACGGCTGGGCTAACGGCGCGTACCCGGGCTCGGTGGCGGCGGCGGCGGCGGCGGCGGCGATGATGCAAGAGGCGCAGCTCGCTTACAGCCAGCACCCGGGCAGTGGTGGCCACCCGCACGCCCACGCCCATCACCCGCACCCGCACAATCCCCAGCCGATGCACCGCTACGACATGGGCGCCCTCCAGTACAGCCCCATCTCCAACTCGCAGGGCTACATGAGCGCCTCGCCGTCGGCCTACGGGGGCATCTCCTACGGCGCCCAGCCGCACCAGAACTCGGCTGCTGCGGCCGCCGCCGCCGCCGCCGCCGCGGCCGCCGCCTCGTCGGGAGCTCTCGGGGCGCTGGGGTCCTTGGTCAAATCCGAGCCTAGCGTCAGCCCCCCCGTCACCTCAGCGCACTCGCGGGCCCCTTGTCCCGGGGACCTGCGCGAAATGATCAGTATGTACTTGCCCGGCAGTGAAGGCGGGGACCCAGCGGCTGCAGCCGCCGCAGCCGCCGCCGCCGCGGCCGCTGCCCAAAGCCGGCTCCACTCCTTACCCCAGCACTATCAGGGCACCAGCACAGGGGTGAACGGCACCGTGCCCTTGACGCACATCTGAGACGGACCGAAGGATGGACGACGCCGCCCGCCGCCGCCGCCGCCGCCGGCCCTGCCGCCAAAGGGGATGTGCTCCTTGGAGCGGGCTGGCTCCCTCTGCGCCGTCCCTTTTCCCAATTCTTCCCCGCAGCCCCTTTTTGTACAGAATGAGGACGATGCACTGAAGTCCTGATTATTATTATTACTATAACAAACACTCATAGTACAAAGGATAATGAAGAGAAAAAGGTAACAGGTTGCTGTAATGCTAACTCCTCAGCCCAAAGAACTAGGTTTTGAAACCAGTGGGGGTTGTTGTTATTATTATTATTGTTATTATTCCTTCTGTTGTTGTTTTAGAGGAACTGTGTTTTAACTGAGATTTCCCCCCCCCCTTTTGTACAGTATTTATCATTCACCCACAAACCACCTAGCCTTTTTTATTTTACTAAGCAGTCCGGGGATGGGGAGAGCAACTGAGAAGAATATGCTAATTATTATTAATAATGCAGAGGTTTGGGCGATGCCAACTTCTTTGCCATATAGAAGCATTAACTGGTCGCCATTGGGGCAAACTTCGTTTGAAGATGTTAAAGCCTAATGAAAGAAAAAAAAAAATAAAGTCAAGAACCATCTTAAAACTTTTGGGGGTGCTTCTTATAAAACAAGGTTCTTTTGGTTCTGTTTATTTATAAGGGTTTTTGTTTCATGATCAAGAACAATATTCTGAATTTTGTAAATGTTTCTTATGTCTGCATTTTTCTTTTGGTAACTTTTTATATATTTTTTTTCTTGTAAATGCATTGTGGAATAATTTTAATTAATTTTAGGCATTAAAAGGGAATTCATAAATGTGTATATAGTTTACTAAAAAGCATTTTCGCTGAAGAAGAAAACAAATAAAAATCTAAAGATAAGTTTGATTCTGAGTTAAATCACTTTTAAAATAAGATTGGAACCAGGTGATCCAAAATATACTAATTCATGACATGCCTTTAAACTGGACACTTTGTATGTATAAATATAACTGAAAAAAATGGGAAGCAACAAAAATCTAACATGGGGTAGATTTTCATGGTTTTAGGTCTAGAGATTTAAAAGCACCAGGCTGCAAAAAGGAGGATGGTCCCAAACCTGCTGGGTGACCTTGGGCCAGTCACTCTCTCTCAGCCCAACTTACCTCACAGGGTTGTTGTTGTTGTTGTGAAGAAAAAGAAGGAGGAAGGAATATTGAATATGTTTGCCACCTTGAGTTATTTTTTAAAAAAATATTAAAGGTAGAATTAAAAAAGCAAAGGTAGGAAAGTCGGGTTTTTATTTGTTTTTAAGTGGTGTAGGTTTGGGATATTATTTTAATATCTGTACAGTATGGTTAAAGAAGGCAATGCAGTAAAGCATTTCTAAACTGCATTTCATTTGTTTTGTTAAATTGTGTAACTGCTTGGGTAAACATAAGTAAGTTTTTGTCTAACTTCCGTTTCTTTAGTTAGCACCAGAGTTTTAAAAAGTTTGGACAAAGCCTCCTTCTCCCTCAGCTCCCAATTTCTTTCACTCCACACTGTGTTTGAGGTATTTAGATAAAAAACCATTTCTTGTATGAATATTGATCAAGCTTAGGCATAATGAAGGATAGTTAACTTTTAAAAAATGGTTTCTTAATTGCCCCAGCAAAATGATCTTTGGGGGGAGAGTAAATGCTGTTACATACAAATAATATATTGTTTGCAGAAATTTCAGTGGTTTAATGTTTCAAATTTTAGTTTAAAAGAGATTTCTTCTGTGGCTAAAATGAAGTTAGATATTAAACTTGGCAGAATACAAAAGCCAAAGGTCAGGTTGCAGATTATAATTATTGTTTCAGCTTGAAAAAAAGAAAAAACATATAAGGAAATCATGCCTGTTAATAGCCTGGGTGGGGGATGGCAATGAAGTCCAGAGGAAAAATATTGGATAAAGCAAACATTTAATATTTTATTTGTATCCATTGCCTGCAGTTCCTGAAGCAACTTACTCAGAAGTAACTACTACTGGATCTCTATGAAATCCTTGGGTGGGTGCCAGTTTATTCCAGAGTAAAACCTTTGACAGATGAGAAGCCACACACATTTTCTAGAAGTAAGGTCCTCTGGTTTCAGCGTCATTTATTTTGAAGTGATGTGGTTAAAGACCGCAAGAGCTGACTGATTCAATTTCTTTTACAAACTGCTTATAGTATATTGTTTTGCGGTCTAAGCAATGGCCATCTTTATTTAAATGATTAGTTTTCTTTATAGATTGCGGTTTTTTGTTTTTAAAAAGGGAAATAAAATATATTTCCATTTTGCTTGCTTATTTTATTCAGTACAGTTCGATCCTTGATTAATTCTACCTCTTCCCTCTACACCCACACATTTCTCTGATGCCCCCCAGTACTGCAGATGAAGGTTTTGAAGTAGTACTCTTGTGACATCAGTGGACCTGTGTGCCATTTCTCAACTGAGATTCTGCCAAGGGAAGGCTGCTTCTTCTGGATAAACCAATTGGTGCTTAATCTGCTCTTTCTTTCTCCCTGTCACATTTCAGTGTTGGTTGAGAAGACAGAGAAAGGCAGAAACATTCCAAAAATTGCACCTTTACTTCAGTACACCTGTTCACAAACTATAGAGGCTTGCAATCTGTGCAAATAATCGGTGAGGATCTTCAGCTACAGTTCGTTAAATTGGCAGCTGTCAGACCCAGATCTGATTTTGTAAGAAATGTAATAAACCCATTAGCGTTTGAGAAAGTAATCTGCATTTCCCTTTGCATGCAAATCATCCCAGGAACTGGGAGAGGTGGGGTGAGGGAAGAAGTGGACGGGGAAAGTTAAATGCCAAATGTACTACCTCCACATTCTGGCATCAGGTTTGTTATTTCAAATCTCTTGTTCTGAGTATTAACTCTGGGTGTTATAATAACATCTGTGGTACTATTAATATATTCCCATTAACCTCCTGATTCAAATATACCCCCAAGCCCTAAAACATTTACCTTTATTGGTATTAGAGAAATAATGTAGGCCAAAGTATAGTGTGTTAAAGATCCATTGGGAAATAATGAAGTGTGTGCTTGTTGGTTGTCCAACTACAATCAGTTGGACTAGAAAATACTTAGTTTTGGTTGCCCAGTGTCCCTGTATTGCTAATGGTCATGATATGACAAAAAAAAATACTATCTTTATTAGATTTGTTCAGTTTGCGTCTCAACAATTAGGGTCTGTTTCTATTTTATTTTTCTTTCTTTTAAAATCTTTCTGTGCAGAAACAAGTCAAACAATCCTCATAGAATAAATCCTAATATTAATAAAGTTAGAATTAAGGAATTTTTTTTTTTTTAAAAAAAATGAAATTGCCTGTTACTGAGTGATTGAATAGAGACAGCTAAACTAAGTTGTAAACCATTGATTTATTTTAAATACTTCTGCTTTGGAAATGCAGAATTGTCCACCCTACAGTTTCACTGGAAAAAACTATTAAAACCACCTGTGTGGGTTTTCTTTCTACTGAAGGCTGCATCTTCAGTGCTGCCTGGACGCTATTCCAGATCAGCTTAGAGGCAACGGAGCGTGAGGAACGGTGGTTTTGAGAAGCTCGGATACCCACACTTCGGGACTGTAGTGGGGAACGAGAACAATATACCCCCCCGGCTGGCTTCTCTCTCGCACTCCATCCCGGAGGAGGAGGTCAAAACCTCAGCCCAAGGATAAGCGCTGCACATAACCCGCAAACAAATCCAACGTTCCCAGGTAGATTTGAGCCTCTTTGCTCTTTTGGAGGACGCAGGCCGTTTCCGGGCACCGACGAGAACTTGCAACGCTGCTCCAAGGACAGCCTCAAATCGAATTTCAAGCAGCCCCTTCCTTCCCCTGCCCTCTCCTCCATCAGACAGCCCGCTTTCTGGCCCGTTCAGATCTGATCTTAGCCAAGTGGGAGGTGGGAACACTCTGAGATCTGCTTAGGGAACCGTGAAAAACGCACAATGAAGCCCCCAGCCGGAGCGCTTGTGGGGGGTCGGGAGGGAAGAGGGGGGAGGGGCGACCAATCTGCCCTTTCCCAGCCTTTCCTCGCCGATCACAGCAAACCGCCAAGAAAAAACAAGAGGAACTGAATTCGGCGCGCAGTTAAGCGTTGGTGATGTATTCCATCATTAGCAATTAGGACCTAAATCAGGGGTAGTCAACCTTGGCTCTTTTATGACTCGTGGACTTCAACTCCCAGAATTCCTGAGCCAGCTGTGCTGGCTCAGGAATTCTGGGAGTTGAAGTCCACGAGTCATAAAAGAGCCAAGGTTGACTACCCCTGACCTAAATCCTCTCTGGCCCATCTCGCGCCGAAGTTCTGCGCCTGAAAAGTTGTTCTCTCTGTTCTGACATCAGAATTTCCCGCACAGCAGATCTCGGGTGGGTTGAATTTCTTAACGCCCCAAGTTGCCACAATCCCCTTTTGCAACTTGACTAACCCCTCCTGAATCTTTTTTTCCTCTTCCCTGTTCGTCCTTCCAGATTCTCTTTCTCGCCGCTCACTTGGGAGTCCTTCATTTTCGGACCCTCGCATCCCCCCCTTCTGCGATCTCCCCAACTCCAACGCTTGCCTTTCTTTTTACTATTACTTATCTCCGAGAGCGTCTTTCCCACTCCGAATAATCGCTCCCCCGCCCCGTAATCGTCTAACTCGTTTCCCAGAAGCGGGCTGGTGGGAAAGAGGCTAGTGGTGCGGCGAAGCTTTGCCTAAAGGGAGCTGACGGCCAGGGAGACGAGAGGGTGGCTCTTAGGGCTGCCTACGACCAGGACTGACCGATACCTTCGCCAGTTTTGAGGGGCGCGTTTCCAACTTCACCAATTCTTTTTCCCCCGATCCACGTCTTTTCCACCAGAGCAACCACCCTCATTATCCACTCATGTTTAGGATACTCCTGATTTGCAGGTCAATTTCTTGAAACTTTTTAGTACCCTTGCTCAAATTCCGGAGACACCCAGTCACAGCAACCGAGAGAATCACTAGGGAG